GGTGTACCTAATAAAGTGGCCGGTGAGTGTATATGTGATCGTACGAAGCCCACCATTATATTCCGCATGTTTGAACACATTTTGTGTTTTCTTGCACTAACAGGGCATGGTGATGGTGAGTCCAGAGATGGATCCCACCATCTGCTGGATGTTTGAAGCTGAGATTGTGCTACTCTTCCATGCTAAGACCTTTCACAARGGCTTCCAGGTTACTGTGCACATTGGAAACGTGAGACAGACCGCCACAGTGGAAGCTGTTTATGGCAAGGTTAGTTTGTTCAGTGATTTACTCTGAAAAACCATTTCAGTGCCTCAGAGCGGCGTTATGATTTCAGTAAATATTATAATCACAGTTAATTGATGTTTGATTTGATTCATTACTTTGTGTGATTGCCCAATGGTGTTTGAACTCTCATTTTAAAAATTTAATTTTTGCCATTTATCACCGTACAGCTAAATTAGTACTTTTAGTTGTTGTTAGCCTGAAACTGTACCTGAAATCCACACAAGATACCTTTTAACTTCTGATTTTTGACTTAATTAGCACATTACCTTAAATAACAATATATATGTGTATTAATATATTTTTTATTGCTGCWCCATAGGAGGAGCTGAGGACAGGCGAAAAAGCAGTGGTTCTCTTCAAGTTCCTCAAACATCCAGAATATCTAAAGGTGGGGGCTAAAGTGCTGTTCAGGGAGGGGCTGACCAAAGGAATAGGTCATGTCACCAAGTTGCAGCCCATCGCCCAGTACCAACCATCCCTTGGGGGGGACTAGGAGGTCTAAAGGGTTCTTCTTAGACAATTACAGCAGAGAACTCCGTCCCACCCCCAAAACCAGGTGCTTTATAAACCACATCCTGCCTTTATGAAATGGCCTCTCTGCACAGTTTCTCTTCTGCAGATTTGTGCTATTTTGTCACTATTTTTTTTTCTCCGAAGCCTCGTCACCATGACATTTGTCTATTTTGCTTCTGCCTTTTAAACACCCGATGACAATTTTCTCCACTCACTGGTGTTGACGTTAAGAGTGTGATGCCTTTAACGCCTGTGATAAAAGGAATTATTCTCTCAATCACATGTAGAATGAAACACCACAGAAATGTTTATTTGGAGGGATTTTAAGAGAATAAGTGTGAAACATGTTCCTATCTATGTTGAAGTGCTGCTTACTAAGTTTACACCTAAACRCACTCCCAACACGCTTGCACACACTTTTGCACTGAAAGATAAATGCCACTGTAGCTACTCACGTGGCTGTTTCGACATCCAAGTGGAACCAGTACCAGTGTGATACAAGAACAGTGGGTCCATAGCAGCTAATGTGTTGCACCAGCAGAGCCTGAAAACCATCTAACCTTGCTATTTAATACTCTTAAAGGCTTTTATACACTAAACCAACATCGAAAACGAGAGTGATGCTTCTGCTGTCATTCTTTTAGTATTGTCTCATGAAAAAAATAAAAGTAACCATATCATCATCATTTGCCTAATGTGGATTGATATATTTCCATCATATCAATAGCAGACTTGTGAATTGGATAGAATCAAAACCATATCATGACAGACTTGGTATTGAGAAACATTGTAACGTCATCCAAACAAATCGATATTTGGTAATGTGAAACTAAGCAGCCATTTATACATTWTTATGTTACAAGTTTGTCAACTTCACAGAGTAATCAGCCAATTGGATTGCGCTCTCTCACTGGTCAACGCAACATCAATTCATCAGCTGAGGGGGGTGGGAAACATACAGACAGCATCTGTGAGTCTGCTACACACTGAAGAGTTCAGTGATCCTGACATTTCTGACTGCAGATTGTTGGCTTGGTGTATAAGTCACCTTAAACTCCATTCTCTGAGACTGCTGATGGCTTTTATATTTTTTTATGTCAAACAAAAGCCAAATCCTTTTGCCTTTCAGGCTGTGCTGCTGACACAGGCACTTTAAAAATGTAAAAGTGAGAACGTGTGAGGAATGCGAACTTGACTTTTTAAGATGAATTGAGAAGATGACTTAAAACGGCAATCGTTTATCTGTTTGTCACGTGTTGTTATTAGAGTTGATTTCGATTCACAAGTAATGCCTCACGATAGCGCGGCGAGATTTGARTAGTCTCGCTTTGTCATTTTCAAGTGCTTTAGTTCCTCAGGGCAGTGCAGACGAAGTTAGACAGCATTCCACTTTTCACAGAACCACTTTAATGGAGGTTTGTTGCTGATGTAGAGGTAGATGGAGRCATTAGAGGGAAAAATATATAGTAGTTTTACTTCCAAAGGTATGTTTTTGTGTGTTTGCGTGAAGCTGAATACTGATCCAGCTCTGCTTCAAAGCAATGATATTGGAGGTACTTGATGTTGTCTCTCAAGTTACTGTTACAAGTTTAAAGAATTTAAATTAGTGCCTAGTGAAGCTGCCGTTTTGAGTAGTTTTCCAGTTCAGCCTAAAGTTTTACAACTTTTGAAAAAWTATATACTTAGGTTGGTGCTACTACTAAAAAGAAGTTTTAATGTTTGACATCTTTGRAAATGTCATGTTGGACTTTATGTCCACACGTTATCTGTTCTATTGCTCCCATGTTGTTAAAAAAAAGAATAAACTTAAACCAAACCACGTTAAAGCTTTAATAAGGGGTTCAGGTGTTAGATCTGCTTTTATGCACCAAAGTTGTATTTTATAGATTTGTTGTATCTTCAGATTTTACAGTTGATTCCTAGTTTTTATAGTTGCAGTTTTCACTTTTGACATATTTTCACTTGTTCTGAATTAAAGGTCTGCCTTTCTTTTAAATTCAGAATATATTTGATAATTCTTTGGGTTAAATGCAATATTTATGTACAGATCCAATTTGTGTGTTGTGAAAAGAAAAATAAAACTTTTATAACCTCCTGAACTTTTGTCTCCTTGTTTTGTTTTTAAAACTAAACCTTAAAAATGACACAAATGCTCTCAGTAACACACAAAAGGTGGTGTTTTAAAAACTTTTATGGATACTTCCTGTTTTGCTCATCTGATGCAACACAGTGCAATACTTTTCCGGTTCTGCAAGGCTCATGTCTAARAGTAAAGGTTTACCACTAGATGAATGTTTTTTTTACATATTTTATTCTAAAGATTTTAAAAGCGTAAAACCCATTAACTCAAAACATTATGAAGACAAATAAACCCTGACTCTGCTGTCAGCATAATACTGACATCTTCTGTTTAGTCAAAACATTACAATGCAACACTGCTGTGAAGTGAAAAGGTTTTAATGCTAGTTTACTCCTTTTAAAAACTACCTTTTAGAATCGACACAGTCCAGAATAAATAACTTTAAGATGTGTAAATGTTCTTACAAAACACAATAAAATTATTTTAAAAAAAGCTGAACGTTCTTACAGATTGGTAATAAGTCTGTAAACATAATCAGAAACAATATTCATGAAAAAAATTCAGCTAGGCTTTATTTTTCATTCTTTTTGAAAAATAAATCCAGAGTTCCCACGCTTGCACCTTGGGAGCRCTGTCTTTTTGCTGCAGGACCGGACTGGCCTCTGGTTTTTGTTTTGCCCCTGGATGGCCGGGCTGCTGCTCCTAATCTGAGAGGGGCCGGAGAAGGACCGGAGGAAGATGAAGAAGCGACGGCTGACGAATTCGTAGAGGAGAGGGATTTCTGGAGGTCCAGAGCAAAGTGATAGTCGTCGTGTTCAGGCATCTCCCAGACGAGGACGTCCTGACCACAGCGCTCACAGCTTACAAGGTGTCCAACGTCACTTTGAGGGCAGAGCTTTAGAGCTTGTTCAGTGTCCGATTCCTTTTTTATATCTTTGGATGGTGCCTGATGAGCTGTAACCTCAGAGCTTGGTTCTGACCCAACATCATTAGAGTCATTAGAGTCGTCTGCATCTACGACTCCAGGATTCGGTCCTGTTTCAGGCATGCTCGTTGAGGCGGAGTTCCTTTCAAAGCTCTTCTTCTGGAAAAAAGAGGAGATTCCAGGACGGAGGCTGGATGAGCTCCCTTTAGAGTGACACAAACTTTTAAAGGGAGATTTCTGTGAGTTTGTTTTGGTCTCCAGCTGACTCTCAGAGGCAGATTCTTTATCAACAACAACTGGAGTTGGGACGTCCTCAGAGGACATGCAGTCATCTTCCTCCTCGATTTCTCTTTGAGCTTGTTTTTGTTTCCCCGCTGCTCTCTGAAAGAAGGATTGAATGGTCCCAGGTTGACTGCACGTAGCTGACGTTTTTGAATCAGAGGGTGGCTGAGGGGARGAGAAAAGACGTTGTGTTGAAGTGACCTCACTGGACAGAAAGCCTGCGATTCCTCCAGCAGACGGCGCATCGCTGAATTTGCTGGCTGAGAGGTGCAGCAGGGTGAGCGGTGGAGTCCTGCGAATGTGTAGAAAGAGAGGGAGGAAATCACACGACATTCCTGTGTCTGTAAACACCTCACTGCATTCATGCTCTTTAATTACCATGCGGCCTGGTGGTTTCCTGCTGTATTGAGACTCYTGATGATGGCCAAACTGTCGCTGGATATTTTGGTCGCCTCGTAGCGCACTAACGCACAACACCGAGAGAAGCTGCTCGGCCTCTTATCGCCAAGATGACGCACGCCGACTGTCAACAGCTTTGCCACCCGACCGTTCTGCAAGATGACAAAAAAAAAACAGATATTAAACAAACAGCAATGCTGTGGGACCTTAATGGAAAATCCAAATGTGGAAAAAGACACACGACAACTTTTACTCACCACGTCTCGATCTTTGGTCAGTCTCTCCTCCAACTCAAGAGCCAGCTGTTGAAGCCAATACTGCACCTGCAAACAGGTTAATGTCAGCATCATTTTGTAAATATTTGTGTCAAATGTCTTTTCACTAAAACAGTAACATGAAAAGTAAAGGCCCCGCCCATCACCCTTCACTAAAATCATTTGATGTTGCCAACGTTCTTAAATTTTACTTTATTTTCTGTTTGGTTCATATGTATCCAGAGATGCAATTTTCCAAACCCGATCTTGTGTAATGTTGCTGCTTTTCTAATTATCATTACAACAAAGCATGCTACAACGCTCCAGGTTGTAAACAGCAGAGAGAAGCGGCTGCGATGACATGCTGAAATGGGCGTGTCGGGATCAGAAGGAGGTTCTTAAAGAGACAGAGGCCAATTTCAAGGTGTTTAGAAACGGATATGAGGAGAAGTCAAGTTTATTTTTGATTTAAACATAAAAACAGCATCTTAATAACAACTAAAGGTGACTTTATTATGGTATAGAATTTCAATACATGCCTGAGAAACACATAATATTGCCCCTTTAATAATTTCACTGAACTCCAATCCAGAACTGCATGGCATTCTGGGGGATGTAGGCAGAAGAAAGGCTTTAGCCGCTCGACCTCTCATGGCCCAGCTTAGCAAGGTCGGTGGCATCAACTAATTCACTTATTGGTGAGCAACAACATGTTGAGTGATGTGAAGTAGCAGTTTCATTCAGGAAATTATGGGTGAAAACGGAAAGGTCACATCACCAGTTTGGCAGCATTAAACATAATTTTTCTTTAAACATGCACAGTCAGGCAAAACATGATTGCCCACCTTATAATGACTGGTGCAAATAAATGGTGAAGACAAAATGCTGATGTAACAAACAGGAAGTGATGACTTGTACCTGCTCTTTAGTAGTCAGTGACGTCTTCCCTGGAAAGGTTTTACTACAACCAATGGACTTGGGCAGCTGTCTGGGTTTTACAGGTTCAAACTCAATCCCTCGACACAAGTCATACAGCCACTGGCTGCAAAACAAAAACATTCAAAACGTTTCAGAAAGAATAAAGAAAATATATATTCAGTTGAAGTTGACTTTATTTCTAAAAAGCTTTCAACTGACAGTTCTTTGTTTGAGCACAGGAYGCTCTGCATGCTGTGATCAGATGCAACAACAACGTACCATTTTTAAACCAAAGTGTCACTTAAAACATGATGCATTTGAGGTATGTATTAATATAGTTAATAATTTAAGTCTGATGAACTGCTGTGTTTATTTAACACGTGAATGGTGCAGTAATTAACAGAATAAACAGACCAAGTTTTTTCAAGTCAGTCATTTAGTCAAAGTGGATTTTCTTACCCCGTTTTTTCTCCAAAGTGGTTCCCCAGTTCAGCCTGAGAGAAGCGAGTCAGATCTCCCATGTTCTCTACTCCCAGAGTTTCAGTAATCGACACCCCCAGCTTACCTCCAAGGTTACGGCTGCATGTGAGAGATAAGCCTTACGTGAACTGTATGTAACTCTACAAGTCACGTTTTACTTTTGCACTTCGACATCGGGACATCAATAAATTGTCCGAACTAAAATCTGTGAGGCAAAGTGATGTTCAACTCACATCTTGCTGACGGGCAGAGAGTTGAAAAGTTCAGCCACAGAATCCAAAGGCAGAATGGTTTGTCTGTTAGGTTTGTTCAGACCACAGGCCAGTTTGGCCAGTACCTTGACAAGTAGACAGTAAAGATTTCAGCTCTAACAACAAACACTCCTCTTGCATTAGAAGCATTTGAAAGTTCCTCCTACTTTATTGTGGGCTATGCCTGCTGAGCATCGGAAACCTGTGTGTTTCTCCACAKCGGCTCTCATTTCTTCTACAATGAGCGCCCCCACAGTGAGCTGCAGTTCTGCTGAGCTCTGCTCCCCTGGAGAGGAGTCAGGAAAGGATGCCAACCACTGCTCGAGACCTCTGGACCTCTCTTCCTCTGAGAAAACAAAAAACATCATGATTTGTGAGATAAATCCCACCATGTGTTTAGCAGCTGTTAACACTGATTAGTAGCTAATTAGTAAATGTTTAGTAAGAGCCTACCTTTATCCAAGATGGAAACTTCACCTAGACTGGAACCATCTGGAGAGGAGGGTTCCAGTCTACTTTGTGGATACCCCTGAATGTAGGTKGTCTTAAGCAAACTGGAATCTATCTGTTTATCGGCCATGTCTTTCAGCCGCTGCTGCACTGTGGCTGTCAGATCCATATAGGCCTCATCAATGCTGGCCCTCTCAATCACAGCGTAACGCGACATCACCTCAATCACCTCCACGCTGGCTTCTCTGTAACTGCAAGGACGACATGAATTTTGATTCCTTATTAATTCAGATAATAAAAAGTGGGAAGTTCAGGGTGKATATCAGCTGCACTTACACTGTCAGGTCCGCCTTGCCGTGAGACTCGCGCACTCGGGCCACCTGGAGACTTGAGCACAACTTTTTGGCATCATCCACCATCATGTTTCTGGTGACACCATGGGCCCTGGCCTCGTAGCTCACAGCTATGATACTAAACAGAGGATATTAGTTTAGATTTTTAACACATGATTTTTTTTAGTCAAATAAACATGCCTGAGGTGCAAGTGGTTAAAATATGTGCAAAGTTWGCAACAAATGGCCAATGCATCTTAAAAAAAAGAAAATCTATAGTGTGTTGAGGAGACAAAAAAAAAAATCTAGATTGCTTTAAAAATAAGGACTTAGTTTTATGGTGTCTCTGGTTACAACATGCCCCATAGTAAAAGCATAACTTCCTGTTTTATGTCACGGGAGTATATAGACAATTAAACTTTACGTTTTTCTCATTATAAAAATCAAACTGACTCACTATCAGAAACTCACCCTCCTCCTTTCCACGTCTTGTACTGTGCTACCACACAGGGAGTGTTTTTCAAAGCTGRGTTTAGTCTCTGTTCCACCTGGACGTAAAAGCAGTCCATGTCCAGTAATGCAACCACTCTTTCCCTCCCGTACTCCATCGACAATATGAAAAAAGTATGTCAATTAAGACAAAAGTATGTATAGTAGTGAACACTAAAGATGATGAAATATAATCATGAGAGAGAGAGCGCCAAAACTGCACTGTCGCGCATTTCGCGCAAAAAAGCTATTTACTTTCCTATAAACGTCATCATCAGTGGACAACAGCTTGTGCTGCGACAGCGACGGGGGTCCGCCCCATATCAAACGCCGGCGCACAAAACGGCGCATGGGTAGGTGGGGTTTGCAATGCATCAACCAAATGCCTCCTGACC